CTTGTTGATACGAACGCTTTCTGCCTACCAATATGGCCGCCCCGAACATGACGTCATCGTGTTTTCTCGTATGTTTTTGTAAATAAGAATTAATCTGCGTTATTATTATTAGCAATAAAACTAGAGTTGATGTTTACCTCATATTTAGAGACAAAAATAGGTCAAGTTTATGAAAAACATCTAAGTCAAAGTCATACAGTCGTACATACAGTCGCTTTTTAAAGGTGCATTGTGTAACTTTTCTGGTGGAGAATCCATCACCTGATTTATTGTGATATTTTGAAGAGGCTAATATTGACACTGTTTTGCTTTTAAAATACCTTGACAAGATTTTGGTGTGAATTATTTCCGTCATAATCCCAAGAATTCAAGTCAAAAACATATTTCTTCATGTTGTCTGCGCTGAAATGAATCATGGGAAATGTAGTTCCCGACTATAAAACCTGCATTTAAGCAAAGGAACTTCTATAATTCGATATATTGTGACGGTCCACGATATTATTGTGAGACTTTTGATGATACGATATCACGACATTTCGGTTTTTGTGACAGTTCTGTTTATAGGTGGTTTTACAGCGCAAAAATACCTCGGAAAAACAAGCATTGTGACTATGAGTGGGGTCGCCTCTCCGCAGATCTGACCTGTAGCTGGGTCTGGTTTAATCCGTGTGTCATTCGTTCATTCGTTTTTCAATATAAAACCAAAAAAAAAAAGAAAATGAAAAAACAACAATTTTCTTTGTTATTTGTCTCCAAAACCAAAATAAAAAAGATAAATTTTTTCAGTTTTTTCGATTTTGTGTTTAAATGAAAAATGAAAAAAAAAAAGGATAACGGACGTTTACGTGACGTCCGTGACTGCGATGCCGAACTTTTGCGCTGCATATGGACTGAACCAGGACTGATCCAGGTGCGGGACCAGACCGGGACCGAGACCAGACTGAGACCGGGACCAGACTGAGACCGGGACCAAACCAGGAACAGACCGAGACTGAGACCAGACCAGAACCAGAGCGGGACTGAGATCAGAACTGAGACCGAGACCGAGACCAGGCCGGGACCAGACCGGGACCAGACCGGGACCAGACCGGGACCAGACCGGGACCAGACCGGGACCAGACCGGGACCAGACCGGAGGCTTAGAGCCCACAGCAGGGCCGGAGCTCAAAGCTGAGGCTCGGACCCCGCGGAGGCTCAGAGTCAAAACTCAGAGTCCACTCTGGTCCCGCTCTGGTCCCGGACCTGGATCAGTCCTGGTTCAGTCCGTACGCAGCACAAAAGTTCGGCATCGCAGTCACAGAAGTCACGTAAATTTAAACACAAAATCGAAAACTGGAAAAAAGGAGACAAATAACGAAGAAAACAGTTGTTTATTTGTTTTCTTATTTTTGGTTTTATTTTGAAAAACGAATGAACGAATGACACACGGATTTGGTTTGGTCCATGAAGACAGACAGGTTAAATTTCCTTGTGGATCAATAAAGTCTAAGTCTAAGTTTAGTCTACGTTGTACCGTGAAACATTCCAGACAAAGCATTAACAATATCTCCTTGTAGAAAAGCGTTTGATGGACCTTCCACCGGTAAAGTTCCACAGTGCAGCTTTAAGTAAACAGATCTGTTGCCCCCGTGGCCTGGGCGCAGAGCGGAGGGAAGCGGCGGCAGATGGTCGGCTGTAATCTGTGTACATGATACTGTTAATAGGGGCAGAGCTTATTATCAGATCTCGTCTAATCTGCAGCGGCCCATCGTACAAACCGCACCGGAGCGCAGGCAAATGAGCGCAGAGAGAACATGCAAATACTGACCAGGACCCAGGGGTCATCACCGCTCAAATTAAACCGGGACCGTGCGCCGCGAGGAACGTCCGACAGTCGAGAAAAAAAACCAAAACATTTAAAACATTACAACATGACACAAAACGGTTTAAAGGTTGTATAGAGGATTTTTTAAGGGAAGAGAAATACAGCGACAGTCCTTTTTTCAAATGTTGTGCAGGAGTGACACCACCTTCCTCCTCTACAGCTCCATCAGTAGAAACATCTCCTCTCGCCTCTTTACTCTAGAGTCACGTTTGTTTACATCTGTGCGCGTTCAGAATTACTGCTGAAGTGAAGTTTCCTGTCTAGAAATAATTTAGCGACCAACTCGTCAGTTTTTAGACCCTTCGTCTGCTTCAGTCGCGCCATCGCTGGAAGGAATCTCCAAGAATCACCTCAGTTTGTCTTCGCTCCTTTTCTCCTTCTCTTCTTCTTTCTGCGATCTCAAAAACCGACTTTTTTTGCGGCGAACTGGTCGTGGATTCTCGTCCGCCGTCGCGACAAACTTTGTGCGAATTGTGAGGAAGCGACAGTTTGAAAAAGCCTCGAAGAACCGCTGCATAAACCACGTAATCCCGTCAGTTACACTAGAAACCTAGGGAGTTTGATTGACAACCTAACAGCCAATAGAAAATGAGGGAGCCTCGTTTTCTATTGGCTGATGTTTATCTGGCCTCAACA